AAAGAGTAAAAAGATAACCTACAGACTGTGAAAAGAATTTTGGCTACGACATACCCATTCAGGGTCTAATCTCTAAAATCTACAAGATACTGCAACACCTCAACAACAAAAACAAATAACCCAATTAAAAAATGGGCAAAGGATATAAACAGGCACTTCACTAAAGAAGACATTCAGGTGGCTAACAGATACACGAGGAAATGCTCACGATCATTAGCCATTGGAGAAATGCAAATCAAAACTACAATGAGATACCATCTCACCCCAACAAGGCTAGTATTAATCCAAAAAACACAAAATAATAAATGTTGGAGAGGCTGTGGAGAGACTAGAACACTTATATACTGCTGGTGGGAATGTAAAATGGTACAACCACTTTGGAAATCGATTTGGCACTTCCTTAAAAAGTTAGAAATAGAAGTACCATACGATCCAGCAATCCCGCTCCTTGGAATATATTCTAGAGAAATAAGAGCCATCACATGAATAGATATATGCCCACCCACGTTCACTGCAGCCCTATTCACAACAGCAAAAAGATGGAAACAACCTAGGTACCCATCAACGGATGAATGGATAAACAAATTATGGTATATTCACACAATGGAATACTATGCAACGATAAAGAATAACGATGAATCTGTGAAACACCTCATAACATGGATGAATCTGGAAGGCATAATGCTCAGTGAAATTAGTTGAAAAAGGACAAATACTGTATAAGATCACTATTATAAAAACTCAAGAAAAGGTTTAAACACAGAAGAAAACATTCTTTGATGGTTATGAGGGTGGGGAGGGAGGGAGAGGGTTATTCACTAACTAGATAATAGACAAGAATTATCTTAGGTGAAGGGAAGGACAACACACACTACAGGGGAAGTGAGCACAACTGGACTAAACCAAAGCTAAGAAATTTCCTGAACACAACTAAACACTTCAAGGGACAGAGTAGCAGGGGCGGGGGTCTGGGGACCATAGTTTCAGGGGACATCTAGGTCAATTGGCATAACAAAGTTTATTAAGAAAATGTTCTGCATCCCACTTTGGTAAGTGGCATCTGGGGTCTTAAAAGCTTGCAAGCGGCCATCTAAGATGCATCAATTGTTCCAATCCATCTGGAGCAAAGGAAAATGAAGAACACCAAAGACGGAAAATATTAGCCCAAGAGACAAAAGGGCCGCATAAACCAGAGACTCCATCAGCCTGAGACCAGAAGAACTAGATGGTGCTTGGCTACCACCAATGACTAACCTGACAGGGAACACAACGGAGAGTCCCTGACGGAAAAGGAGAAAAGTGTGGTGCAGAACTCATATTCTAGTAAAAAGACCAGACTTAATCGTCTGACTGAGACTGGAGGGACCCGGGAAGACATGGCCCCTGGATGCTCTGTTAACCCAGAACTAAAACCATTCCCAAAGCCAACTCTTCAGACAAAGATTAGACTGGACTATAAGACATAAAATGATACTCGTGAAGAGTGTGCTTCTCAGCTCAAGTAGATACATAAGTCTAAATGGGCAGCTCCTGTCTGGAGGTGAGATGAGAAGGCAGAAAGGGCCGCGAGCTGGTTGAATGGACATGGGAAATCCGGGGTGGAAAGGAGAAGTGTGCTGTCGCAGTATGGGGAGTTCAACTAGGGTCACATAGCAGTGTGTATATAAAGTTTTGTGTGAGAAACTTAAAAAAAAGATTAATTTTAATATTTTATTTAACCCAATATAGCTAGAATATTATTTCAATATGTAATCAATGTAAGAAATAATAATGCGATATTTAACTTTTTTTTTTTTAAATAAGACTTTGGCATCCAGTGTGTATTTCACATTTACAGAACATCTCCATTCAGACCTGTCACATTCCAAGTGCTTGACAGTCACGTGACTGGCGGCCATCGAATTAGACAGCATGTGTTTTGAAATGAACAGTGCTAGAGGAATTCTTAAATGGCTGGGGACGCTGATATAATGGAATATTGTGCATACCTCAAAATTGCTTTTTAGAAGTTTTAGTAAAGTGGGTTTTTTTGTAGACTATTAGTTCGAAAGTGAGGTGATGAAAAACCTGTGGATCACAACAGAATATTGTCTGATAGAGTGCTGGAAGATGAGCCCCCTAGATTGGAAGGCACTACACAATGGCTCTGTTGTACATACGGTCACCTTGAGTCGGAGCTGGCTTGATGGCACCTAACAACAGCAACTAGTTGTCCCAGGCATTGCAGATACAGCAGTGGCTGAAACAGACAGGAGTATCCACCCTCTGTCTAGTGATACGCAGTACGCTTACTGTCTAGTGCTACACAGTACTTACCTCAGTGGCAGTGCAGCAGCAGCAAGGCCTCATAATCTGGGGGAAATCTGGTACAGAAACTTCTGGAAGCAAGCATCCTCCAGCATCTGACTAAATAGGAGCACTGACACCGGCAAAGAGAATGTGGCCGGGAAGGATAAGGAGGGAAGCAAGTCCAAATAAAGGTTGGCAGCACAGCCAAGGTCCACTAGACACGGGCCTGGCAGTATCAGTGCCCCGACACACTGTCAGGAAGACATGTCACCAGAAGGTCGACGGGAAATGATGGGATTTTATCACGCCTGATACTAACATGTGGAACAGTGGCAACTGCATGAACACATGGCCACTCCCAGAGAGGAGTAAACTGTGTAGGGTTAGAAGCTATTACCTACAGTCAAGATTTGAGGTAGCATTTAAATTTTCAGCAGAGCACAGATGTGCGTGAAGCACCCCGTCTATTTTTCTAAGTCACGATATTCCTCAAATAGGCCAAGCTTGTCTTCATCTCGAGGCCTTTGCACTTTTCTGCTCCCCTACGTGGAGTGTTTGTTCCCATTCAGATCTCTGGTCAAATGTCCCCTCTGCCCAGACAGGCCTTGCCTGACACTCAATCTCAAATAGCCCCTTTACCACCGCTGCAGCAGTGTGTTCCCTTCCCTTTGCCATGGCCGCATCATGGCCTGAAACCATGCTCATTTGTGACCCTGTTTATTTTCACTAGAGTACAGTCTCCAAGAGGGCAGGGACTTAGTTTTATTTTTGCTCTATTTCCAGCATTTGTAAAAATCTCTGTCACACAGTAGGCACTCAGCTACGTGGAGCTGATGACCACCTGCTGCTTTCGGTCGCCAAGCTGGCTCTCCATCTGTGATGCTGGGCCGTGGAAGAGAGTGGATACACAGTGAAGCATCAACCCACCAAAAGACAAGCCTGCCCTTTGTCCTCAGCTACTGGGAGGTAGTCTCTAGGCCCCTGGAATGTCCTGCCTGGTATGAGTGGCTCTGTTTTCCCGAGGGGGTCTGGCCACCAGACAGTCTAACAATGAGATTTATGATGGGGACTCTGGGCCATGAGGTATCCATTCCAGGCTCCAGAGGGAATGGAAACTAAACGTATCAGCCTGGCCTCTGGAAGGGCTGGAGACTAAGGGTCAGCCACAAAGGCAGTTTGTAACCGAACCCCAATGAAAACTCAGCACCAAGTATTGGGCAAACTTCCTTTGTCAGTAGTACTCTATACATGCTGTCACACGTTGTGGCCAGGAGAAGTCAACGCTGTCCGTGACTCCACAGGGAAAAGATGATGGAAGCTCCATGTTTGGTATTTCTCCTGGACTCTGTCCTATAAGCTTCCCCCCCGGATGTATCCCTTCCTGTAATAAACGCTAACAGTGAGTAGAACGGCCTTCAGTAAATTCTGTGTCTGTCTAGGGAATTATCAAACCCCAGGGTGGTTTTAGAACTTGAATTTGCAATTGGTGTCAGAAGTGAGGGCAGCAGTCTTGTGTGGACTGTGCTCCCTCTAACTGTACAGCTGGCTGAACTCTGCAGTGGGTGTACCAAGGACTGCCACTGTTGTATCCCAAGCAGAGCCCCCTTCTCCTCGTCCTGTATAGGAATCGCATGTGGAATCTACTGGGCATTATTCTAACTTGGGTCAGGGCAGCTGGGGAAAGGAGAAATCTGGTACAAGGCCCACTCATGAGAGCAAGTCAGAGCCCAGTGAGTGATGGCTGGGAGGACCTTTTCCACTAAGTGTGGCTTCCTCCCACACCTTTGGTTCCGGGGGTTGCACGGGCTGTATCAGAGGCCTAAGATCGAGCCTCAGTGAGGAGAGCGAAAAAGGATGTTAACACTACCCTAGTCCAGAGAGGCAGGCCCTGGTGCCTTCTGCAGCTCCTGGGGCTGCCCACCTGCCTCAGGCCTGTTCACTCCCCCAAAACATGGTGTCATTCTCTGGCTCCCACTGGCCCTGCATGTCGTTTTAGGCCCAGGGCCGTCAGTGCGCCTCCTGTGTGTATCTTGGCCCCTGCCTCCCATGTATCCGTCCATCTCAGCCTTGACTGCATCCCACCGACATGGTGCTGGGCCTGGCCCCAGCCTTCCGTTCTCTCTGGCTAAGCCCGTACCCAAAGTGCAGCCACACACTTGTGGTGCCTCTCCCAGGATTCCTTGCCACGGTTTCCCTCTGCTGAGTCAGGCTCTTCTCTGCTTTGTGGATTCCTCCCTGCTGTTGCCCTGTGCTTGGTGTGAGTGGCAGGGGCAGGGTTCTGTGTTGGTGCCACTTGCCTGCCCAACTCTAGGACAGCAGCACTTGCGCCCAGCACAAGCTCAGTGACCATCAGCGGCTGGACTGCGGGCACGTGGGGTGGAGTACCATGGAGTCCCTTGAGCTGCTCTAACCCCCAGTACATAGCAAAGGGCAAAGGCAAAAGGTAAGAGAAACAGAGCGAGCGGCCAGGAGAGCCTCACCTTCTCAGGAGAGCCTCTGCAGCATGCAGTCGCAGTCACCGTGTGGAGTGAACAGTGATGCCAGGTGGGTTTCAGACTGAGGAAAGGGAGTGATGCAGGAGACAAGAGAGCATCAGGCGGCCCCATGGAAGCATCCTTTATGTGTGAGTACCCATCAGACAGTGTGCCCCCAGCAGGAGGTCTGCTGCCTGGGGCTCCCAGCTGCCCCTCGCCCTGGTCCTGCTCCTGCCCTCACTCAGGCTGCGCCAGAGTCCCGGGCAAGGACGAGGGTGGCGGGGGTCTCCACTGCATGTCAGCCCGCTGCATGGCCTGCAGCAGCGCCTGCAGCTCGACCTGCGTTTGGCTCAGCTTCCCTTTGTCCACAGGCCCCCACGAGAGCCCATGTAGGTAGGCACAGCACTCCACAGGGATAGGGTACAGCACCTGCTTCAGCTCTGTCAGCACAGCCGTGCGCTCCAGCAGGCCCAGGAGGCTGGCCCGGGAGAAGGGGTTGTCGGAGAGGCCCAGGGATCTGAGGTGGACACAGCAGCACAGAGTGGGCAGGATGGCGTGGAGGTGGGCATCCTTCAGCCAACAGTGGTTCAGGTCCAGGTGCTGCAGTGTCCTGGCCACTGCCCGCAGCAGGGCCTCTAGAGGCCCCGGAACCATGTAGGACAGGTTGTTGCCGCTCAGATCCAGCTTCTTCAGGCAGGTGGCATGAAGGCTCTGGGACAGGAAGGTGATATCGGTGTCCAGAAGTGTGCAGGAGCGGATCTCCAGGGCGTACAGAGGGGTCTGCAGGCAGCTGAGGAGAGAGGGTGGCTCTCAGGGGAGGGCCCTGGCCTGCACCATGGGCACCTGCTTGACCAAGTAGGAGGCTTGCCCTAAGGCAGCTCCTTATCTGGAGTAGCCATTTATCTCTGGGTTTAGGAGCACATCCCATGGTGCCACAGGGCTGCCCCATCCCCTGCTGAAGCCCTCTGACTCTAAGTCTCTCTTTGGTGAAATGAAGACTCACTTCTTATGTACCCAATATGGCTGCTTATTTGATGAGAAGAGCTTCTTTGATAGTGTTGCGAGGATAGTCCGTCCTCCCACCATGTTGCCTAACCAAAAGCCTTGGGCCCAGAACATTCCCTGAAAATGGAGGCTAGGAGCTGAGCCCTCGCTCTATCCTGGTTTCTTCTTCTTTCTTCTCAGAGAAACCCCTTCCCTATTTTCCGGCCTAATGAGTACCTCTTTGTTCTGCTTATGTGTATGGTGTCACATGGCACCTGGCCAGCCCCACTGCTGTATCTGTTCCCAGCGGGGAGGGATGGAGTCCTTCACTTGTGGCATGAGAGGGGTGTGTGCAGAACATCCACCCTGCATTGGCTGCGAGGAGTGACCCACTGGCCTTGGGGGACTGGCACCAACTAGTGAAGCTGACCTTGCTGTGTCTCTTCTCTGTGTGACTAAAGCATTATTCCATCCAAGGCCTGTGTGTGAGTTGCTTCTTATGCTGGTGACCATGGACTTGGCTTGACGATAGGAGTCTAGGATGTGACTATTATCACTAGGGTTTGGGTTTGAGGAGCTACCACTCTGACCCTGATGAACAGAATGCCCCCCACTGGGAGGTATGCATGGAAGGAAACCCTTGCTTCCCACATTTGTCATACCACAGTCCTCATCCCCCTCTCCAGGGCAGCCCATGCTGTCTGTGGTTCTTCAGGGCCCAGCACAATGCTGGAACTCTGCAGTGCCCCAAAAGATTTGTTGAGAAGATAAACGTATGCAACTTTTTTCCCCACAAATCTTTGTCTTCCAAAGCAGTTCCCAGCCTTCAGTGGCCTCTGACCCTCAGGTCGCAGTTTACACCCATGATTCCATGAGGGGTAAGAATGGGTACCACTTTCTATATTGCTCCCTGCCCAGACTTGACTTTGGCATGTTCCAGTGATACTCTGGGGGAGCCCGCCCACCTGTTCACCTGAGCACTTGATGCAGGTTGCCTGACAGGTAGGAGCAGGACAGGTGGAGCTTCTGGAGGTGCTGTAGCTGGCTGAGATGGGAGAGGAAGTGGTTGGAGGACTGCTCACCCTCTGGGGGGAAGGCCCACTGGTAGTAGGCCAGCTTGAGGCTGCGCAGGTTGCGGATCCTCCCCAGCTGGGTAGCGAATAGGCTCTGCTCTGACAGTGCCTGGAACCAGTCAAACACCTCTAGCTCCTGGATGGAATCCAGGTCCAATGTCTTCAGGATCCCCACGAGGCCGTCAAATGGCATTTCCTCAATGTGCAATTTCCTACAGCAGAGACGCAGGGACCCACAGCTCCTCTCCACTTTTGCCAGGAGGTCACAGAGGAATGCATCTAATTTGAAGGGGCCTCTTAGGAAAAGATCGACGTGTAACTCCACTGGCTGCCAGGCCCCCTGAGGTTTTTTCACGTCCTCCACTGGCTTGGGCCTAGCCATGTCCTCTGGCATCTCAGCCTTGACTGTGGATGGTAACCAAAAGGGGAACTTAGCCAAGGCCTCAAAGGCCCCTTTACCCTGGAGCTGCTCAAAGGCCAGTGTCAAATCCAGTACCCTCAGCAATGACCTCCTGTGGGGAGTAGAGAGGGCTTATGAGATAATGACATCCAGGGGAGCCCCAAAGGGTCAGGGTAAATTGAGTCCCAGGAGCAGGATCTTGGCCATTGGCTCCCAGATACCATCATCAGCCCACCTACCCTCCCCTCTCTAAGGGGCTTTTCCCTGCCTCGTCTGGGATCCTGTTGAGTTTCCATTCTTCACATCACCTGCACCTCTATCCCCAGAAGGTAAAACCCTATCCCTTATCCTCATCAACTGCATCATCAACTATTTAACCCAGAAGCCCATAAAAACCAAAATCAAACCCGTTGCTTCTGAGTTGAATCTGACTCATGGTGATCCCACGTGTGACAGAGTAGAACTGCTCCATAGGGTTTTCTTGGCTGTAATCTTTACGGAAGCAGATTGCCAAACCTTTCTTGTACAGCGCTGCTGGGTGAGTTTGAACCACCAACCTTTAGGTTAGTAGTCAAGTGCAAACTATTTATGCTTTTGAGCGACCTTATAGACTACCCATTTGTGCCCCAGCCGACTTTAACCCCATGCTCCCCTGGGTTCCAGCCCAGTCTCCCTCTGGCTCTCTGTGCCCATGCCTTGGTCTCAGCACCCTTCTTACCTGGGACAAGCCTTGTGGACATGGGAGTCCTCCAGCCCATCCAGCACAGCCTGCAAGCTGTCTTCGTTGGGCCACTGCACTATTAGAGAGCCCAGTCGGAGGAAGGGGAAGGGCCAGGCCTGCACCAGCGCCTTCAGAGCCTCCTTGTGACCCATGGCAAAGGCAGCAGTGAGCAGTGGTGGGAAGAGGTCATCTGTGAACTCTTGCAAGGCAGGTGGAGCAGAAGGCTCACTGCTCAACAGGCTGTGGGCTGCCAGATCCAAGAGCGTGGGTAGGGCTGGAGTGCTCATCTCCACGAACCTGGGGCAGAATAAGGTGGACGTCCTCAGACCTCCTCTCGCTCAGCACCCTCTCAGGCCAGCCTGGAACACCCATGCCTTTTGCATCCATCACAGGAGCAAGGGGACTGAAGGACCACCCTCCATTTGTGAGTAGAACCCACAGGTCAGTCTTGTAAGCATGAGACTCTGAGCCTCCATGCACTAGTGAGGTGATGTGGGGCCCAGAACCTCAGGGTTTAGATCTTTTCCTGTCAGGCTTTGGAGACTTTGACTTGGTCCGGATTTCCCTCCTTTGCCATAAAGATCACCATGTGCACCTACAAAGGATACTATCCCCAAACCCTACATCAATCCTGTTCATTTCACCTCCAGGATGTATCTAGATTCTGACCATGTCTTATCACTCCCATCTTTACCAAGCCATCAGCATCTCTCTCCAACTACAGCAATGGCCTTTGAACTTGTCTCTCAGGTTCTGCCCTCACACCCCTTATGATTTATGTCAGATCGTGTCACTCCCCTGCTCAAAACTCTCCCTCTGAATGCAGTGCCCCCTGAGGTGGCCCTCCCAGGGTCTAGCCTCTTAGCCTCTCTGGGTCCACCTCCTGCCACCCTCCCCTGTATTTACTTTGTACTAGCCGTCCACAATGGTCTCTGTGTTGCTCTTCAAACCCAAGCAGGCCCCCTGCCTCAGGGCCTTTGCACTGACTGTTTCCTCTGTCTGGATCAGTTTTCTCCCAGATAGCCAAGTGGCTAGCTTCCTCACTTCATTCTGGTCTCTGTTCAAATTTCACCTTGTCTGAGAGGTTTTTCCTGACCACCTGTCTAGCATCTCTATCTAGCACACACACAAAGAGTTGTATATTGTCTCTCTCTTATGTTAAATTGCAACCTCCAGGAAAAAGAGCTGTGTCTGTCTTTATCACTGCTGTCATCTGAGTGACATAGTACTTGGCATACAGTAGGCAACCAAGGTATATTATTAAATACATTTCAAGGAGCAGATTTGTACAATGTAAGCTCACCGTAATCTCACTGATTAGAGCTTAGGGTGATACAGACTGAGGTTTCCTCTTCCTACTCTCACAAAGCATCAATGTCAGATTATTTATGGATCCTTTCAACTGACCAGAAACAGAGGGGAATCTGATTCCACTCCACTGCCTCCATTGTCCACCCAGGCACTAAGCACCTCCATGTGCAAGGAGGGGATGCTCCAGAGCTGCACTGTCCACTGCAGGAGCCACGAGCCACGGGTGGCTACTGAGCACTTGAAATATGGCTGCTAATGCGATGGAGAGATTGAAATTTTAATTGTATTTCATTTCAATTAATTTTAACTGAAATTTAAATAACTACATGTGGCCAGATGCTATCATTTTGGACAACATGTCTAAAGCCCATGGAAGTCAGAGATAAACATTCATTCACAATCTCACCACACTACAAAATCCAGCCCTGTGAGGCAACTACAACAAAACTGTGCAAGGACAATATAGGAAAGAAAAACCGTTGAACTTTTAAGTTATTTAAACTTTAAAATTATTTGACTTTTAAAGCTAGATGCGAAAGTCCCAGGGTCTAGCCTCTTAGCCTCTCTGGGCTCACCTTCTGCCACCCTCCAACATCATGAACTACTAGCAAATCAAATCTAGCAACATTCCTCAAAAAAAAAAAAAGAAGATCAAGTACGACTGACATTAGGAATGCAAGAATAGTTAACATTGGCAGGATTCATTATTCATTATTAACTGTGTTCATAGATTCAGGAAAATCAAATAAGGAATAAGAAGAATGTTTCCAAACCTGATATTTAGTGGTGGTATTTTGTAAGCATTCCCTTTAAAGTCAGAAATGAGATTACAGTGCAGTGGCCACAGGAGACTATGCTCTGCAGACTTCCAACCCAGAGAGTGCAATTGACTAAGCTGCCCTTAAAACTTCAAGGTAGGCTTTGGGACAAGGCTATACCTCCTGGTGGTGCTCCCCACCAATGACTGAGTGTGGCAGGGATATGAAGGCAGGTCAGTTTCTAGCAGACACGCCACTCCTGGACAGTCAGCTTTGGCTGGAGGACTCCCTGATGGCTTTGTGGAACTGTCTAGAGAGTGTACAGTGGTCTAGGGCCCTTCTCCACAACCTTCATTCAGAATCAGACCTACTTTGTGGTCTCAAGGCTCTCCACATCTTCCTGGCTCCCTCCCCATTGTCTTTCCTCCACATTTCCTCTAATAAAATTTTTGCATGTTTTCCTGTCATGGTGTCTGCTTCCTGGAGGACCTGGACTAACTCAGAAGCCATTATCACTACTTCTATTCAACAGTGCACTGTCAATCTACTCTTATAAGGAAAAAAATTGAATAAGCATTGGAAAAGAAGAAACGAAACTGCCAATATGTGCAGATACTATGACACTTTATATAGAAAATCCAAGACAATCACAGACGAAGCCACAGAAGAAGAGCTCAGGAAGCTGCTCGACACAGACCAACATGCAGAAATCAATGGTGTTTGTATATGTCAGTGACAAACACTTGGAAAATGTAATAATCATCATAATAAAATCTCATTCACAACTACACTGTTGTTAGCTGCTGTCAAGTTGACACCCATCTCATGGTGACCCCATGCAGAAGCGAATAAAAAGCTGCCTGGTCCTGCACCGTCCCCAGATTGGCTGCAGATCAGACCACTGTGATCCATAGTGTTTTCATTGGCTGATTTTTGGAAGTAGATCACCAGTCCACCTTAGTCTGGAAGGTCTGATGAAACCTGTTCAGCAACACAGCAACACTCAAGCCTCCACTGACAGGGTAGTGGCTGCACGTGAGGTGCATTGGCCAGGAATCAAACCCGGCTCTCCTGCATGGAACTCCAACAAGGTTTTCAAGATGTTCTTAAGAGACTTCAAAAATCTGGACCGTAACAATTAATGACAGAATTAAGAATATAACATGACAACCATTGAAACTGATTTTTAACGTACACGGAAGTGTTCAGGTAAGAATAACAACAACAAACGGGTTATAAAACAGCAAAAGTACACTGTTGGGGAAATGATTAAAAATAAAATCTCCTGCCAATCCAGTAAAACCTCTCCACAAAATGTAGAAAAGAATGAAACAGCTTTATTCTTGAATAAGGCCAAAGCCAGACTGGAATGCACATCATAGGCAATCCACTAAAGAGACTGCAAAGACAGAAACGTATCTCGCCCTTCTATATAGCCAGGCAGATACAATCCTCCACGTACATGTTAATTGTCTTCATCCAAAGGAAAAAATAAAACTTCTATCTTTTCGTTAAGAAGGCAGTTACAACTTGGAGCCAAGTGCTTAGCCTAAACTCCCATAGAGGCAGGGAGACAGGTCACCATCCTTCTTCATGTTCACATTTCAGAGGTGGCTCCAAGGCTTTAAGAAGATAGTCCTGTTGTGAGGTTGTTAACCATTGTCATAGGGCAACATGTGTACTAACTGTTTAATGAGAAACTATTTTGTTCTGTAAACCTTCATCTAAAGTGAGAATAGCAGCACAATTGGAAGAGCGTAGTCGATGTCACTGAACTGTGCGTGTAGAAACTTTTGAAATGGTGTATCTTTGGCTATGTATATTTTCACCAAAAAAAAAAAAAAAGATCGAGAAGAGAGAGTTGACATTTCCTGGGGTTGTTAATCAATGTCATAAAACAGTAAGTGTACTACTGTCTCATGAGAAACTATTTGTTCTGTAAACCTTCACCTGAAGTACAATAAAAAATAAAAAAATCAAAAAATAGAAAAATAAAAAAAAAG